GCTTTACAACCCCTCAGAGTAGAGCGCGGCTCCTGCGCGTCGGCACCGCCCGGGCCGGGCTGGGAGCGGAGGAGGAGCGGGAGGGAGAGAAGAGGAGGAAGAGGAAAAACAGGAGCGGGAGGAAGAGCAGGAGCAGAAATAGGGGAAGGATGAAGAGGAGGAGGAGGCGCAGCAGCAGGAAGCCATGCGGTTCCCTGGCCCGCTCGCTGAGGCTCCCCCGGAGACCGCAGGTGGGAGGGAACGGCGAGCTCGGCTCAAATCCATCGGGGGGTCTCCGGGAGGATGTTTTTGCGGGGCAGGGGATGTTTGGATCTTGCAGGACCCCAAAGCTGAGCTGCACATTCCACTCTGGGGGTATCTAGGCGGTCCCAGGTAGTGATCGCGCGGTACCGGCGGGGACGGGGGCGATGTCGGTGTTGGGGATTCCCCGGAGAGAGCCGGGGTGGAGAGCTCGGAGTGGGGAGGGCGCAGAGGGACGATCCCGGACGTGGGGGAGGCTGGAGATGAGCGGGGTTCGGGCTCCCGAGGATGAAAGGGGTGGTCATTTGTCCGACTGAACTTGCGCAGCCAGGACCATCAAACCCAACACGCTCTTGTTTTTCCCCCGCAAACCAGGATTTCCCATTCCCAAACCTTGGCCGGATAGAGGGGGAGGCGACCGCGAGGAGGAGGAAGATGTCTCGGCAGACTCAGGCAGGTGAGGAGGAAGCCACTGCCCCTTTTCCTCTCTCTCCTGCTCCATCTCTGTCACGATCCGCTAGGACAAGCAGGGTGTCGTGATGGTTCGTTTTACCGGTCCTAAAAGTGCTAAAGGCAAACAGCAGGAGACCATTAGTTTAATCACAACAAATGCACCTTTTATTGAGTGCCCACAGCAAATGTGATAGAGGAGTCAGAAAGAAAATAAAGGATAGAGAGAGAGAGAGAAAGAGGGGGAAGAAGGATACAGCTACCAAACGGAGAGACTAAATCCTCAATGGTCCAGCCACATAGATTCGCCGTCGTCTGTGGGGGTTCACTGAAGTCTTGGTTAACTTAGGGGTCTTTTATAGTCCTCTGCCAAGTGGGGGGAACAGGTAATGGAGAAATGAGTCTATTGAAAAACAGGTACAGACAGTCCATGTTCCAAAGGAGGACAAAATTATAGCAATGAGTGAGACTCATTGTTTTCTTGGTCCAGCGAACACCTGCAAGCACCATTTGGCAAACATCTCGCTTCAGTCAGGCTAGTGCCCCTGTGTTAGGATTATATGGGTCTCAGTCCTTGGGAGGGAGCTTCAATCTCTGTCCCCACGGTGGTCGTGAGGCAGATGAGGGATCTTCTGCAGGAGATCACCAAAGTTACCCCAGAAATTTCATTTGGCCAAGAGGTGGGAAAATTCATGGGTTATTAATTAATTAATTCATGGTGATGAGTGGGGATCATGAAGCAGGTGTAAGCATATGGAGCAAACAGCTCCTTGCCGGGCCCTGCTTGAAGCAGTGTAGTGTGGCAACACAGCAAACACACCTGCAAACAATCACTTGACAAGCATCCACTGCAGCCAGGCCAGAACTCCAGGCAGGGTCTTCAGGACCTTAGTCTCTGCCATTACAACTATCATGAGGCAAAAATGAGGGGAACTTCAGACCGTCTCTTACAATCTCCCAGCCCAGCATGGCTCCTGGCTCCAGGACAGCCCTGCTGCCAACACCATCCTGCCAGGGATGGATTGGGGGGATCTCCTTCCCCTTCTCTCCAGCACGGAGGCAAATCCCATTCTCTCCTTGTCCTTCCTCCCTCAGGCGGAGGATGGAGCTGAGGATGGAGACCAGAGAGGACAAATCCCCACAGCAGAACCTCATGGAAGAAGCTGTTTTGAGCAGCTCCATATCGCAGGAATCCAAAAGGGAGGAAAAGCCCCAGAGATCCTTTATGAGGAGGGGCTGCAAACCCAGCCCCAGGATCTGTGAGGAAGAAAGACCCACCCTGGGCCAGAAACACAGCTAGAGATAGGCCAGAGCTCAGAGCTGGGTGTCCATGAGCAGCTTTGTGGCAGGGAGAAGCCCCACAAGTGCTTGGAATGTGTGAAGAGCTTCAACCAGAGCTGAGCTCTCATCTACCACTGGAGAATCCACACTAGGGAAAGACCTTACAAGTGTGGAGAGTGTGGGAAGAGCTTCACGATGAGCTGGTGATCTGTGGTCCTGGTGATCTGTGTTGGGAAGATCCCTGGCTGGGGTCCTCCACATCTTCCTGGCTCCCCGTGGGTACCTGGACACATCCACAATCAGAAGTCCATTGTGGAGAGCAGACTTGTCCCTAGAAAAATCTCACCTTTTACATCTTCTGGTGGCATCAAGCAACACTGGATGACCTTGGAGGTCTTTTCCAACAAAAATCCATTGTTTTAATTCTCTCAGGCCCACAGGCATTTTCCACAGCCAAATGGGGATGTGCTGGGGCAAACCTCACAATTTTGGAGACAGTGGGATGGAAACCCCTCCTAAAAAGGTTCTTCCACCCATGTAAGCATGTGGATGCTCAGTTGGCACAGACACATAAATCCTTTTGGTTTAGCCTTGATTTTTTTCATTTGTGTTCATCCCTTTGAAACTCCTGAAACTGGGGTAAAAATAAAGATGTTGAACAAAGGCATGGGTGAGGAACAATGACATGGGGGGACATGGCCATGGATGGAGACATGGCCATGGATGGGGACATGGGGGACATGGACATGGGTGGGGTCATGAACTGGGACAGTGTCAGTGCCACCACAGTGCCACCAGCATCTTCATCTTGACCACATAAAAGCACTGCCTGATGGAGTTCCTGCCACCATGTCCCCACAGTCACCACCACGGTGTCCCAGCTGAATGTCACTACCCACTAGAGCGGGACAGGGAGCTTGTTCAGCTGGTGACAAGTGGCCCGGATGCAGGTGACAGCCATCAGGGTGTCCCAGAGCCACTGCACTCAGGGGACCCCAGCTGCCCCTAGGAACAGGCTGGGGACAGCACAAGGGTGAGTGTCACCCAGGGTGTCACATGGCCTGGTGACAGTGTCCCCTGACACATCCTGGTGGCTTCATGCGCTGACATCTCATAGTGGCAGCATCCCCACAGGTGTGGCAACATTGTCCCTGATGTGTGTCCTGGTGGTATTGTGTCCCCTCCTCCCCCTATGTCCCCATCCCCGCCATGTGTCCCTGTACCTTTCCGTGTCTCCCTGTTGCTTTCCCTGTGTCCCCTCCTCCCCATGTGTCCCCATCCCCCCCATGTGTCCCTGTCCCTTTCCATGTCTCCCTGTTGCTTTCCCTGTGTCCCTGTCCCTCTCCCATGTGTCCCTGTGGGGTCAAAGTCCCCGAGGCCCTGGGCCATGTCCTGCAGGGTGTCCCCCTGGCCCACAGGGTGTCCCCGTGTCCCTCAAGGTGTCGCCATGTCCTGCAGGATGTTTCCGTGGCTGCTCCTGGCACTGAGTGTCTGCGCCCACCCTGGCAGGGGTAAGGACACACCACGTCATCCCACAACACCCCAGGACACCTTTTTTCCTCTGATTTTGGGTTGTTCCTCTCTCTTTTGGGTCTGTTCCCCCCTATTTTGGGTCCTTTCCCTGTTTTGGAGCCTTTCTCCCTCTTTTGGGTCCTTTCCCCCTTATTTTGGGTCCTTTCCTCCTCTTTTGAGTCCTTTCCCCTTTCTTTGAGTCCTTTACACCTTTTTTGTGTCCTTTAGCCCTATTTTGGGTTCTTTCCCCCTGGTTTGGGTCTTTTCACCTTATTTGGGGTCCTTTCCCCCTCTTTTGGGTCCTTTCCCCCTGGTTTGGGTCCTTTGTCCCCTATTTGGGGTGCCCTCCCCTTGCTTGTGGCCCATTTTTGAGTGCCTCCCCCTCTTCCAAACCCCTCCCCACCCCTTAACCCCCCTCACCCCCTACCCCCTGTCCCCCCCAGGCATGTCCCTAGCTGTGTCCCCAGTTGTGCCCCCACGCCACATGGACTCCGTGCTCGACATCCTGGACGCCCTCGAGTCCCCGGCCCGGGGCGGCTCCCCCGGCACCGCCGCGGCCTTAGGGAGGGGGCTGGGGGTCTGCAGCACCCCGGGGTGCCGGGCGGTGCTGGGCGAGCCCCTCGGGAACCCCGGACGCCCCCCGGCTCTCACGCCAGGCCAGTGGCAGCTCCTGACGGAGCTCCTCCACCACGACCCGGCGACACCGGAGCTGGGGGCGGTGCTGGCCCCCGACGGCTCCACGGTGGCCCTCGGTCCCCTCCTGGCTGGCATCGAGGCGGGGCTGAGATCTGGCGGCTTTGGGCGACCCCTCCCCACCCTCAACCCTCCCGCCGACCCCCTCTTGGCTGTCACCATCGCCGAGGCTTTGGGGACATCCTTCCTGCTGGCGCAGGGGGGTGACAACAACGCCACCGCACTGGGACCCGGCGGCTGCTGGGACGATGTGGAGAACCCCCAAAATTATACCTTGAGGGGTCCCCCGTCCCCTGTCCCCGACCCTGTGGCCATCGGGGCCATGGATGGGGTGGTCCTGGGGGCGCAGCTGGCCCGGGGACCCCTCCCGGTGGCCGAACTGCTTCGGAGCTACTACGGGACTGGGAATGGCTCAGAAGCGGAGAGACCCCCCAGCAGTTACCGGCGCCGGGTTTTTCGGGCACTGGCGGGACAGGGACGACTGGAGAAGGAGGTGGAAGCGGTTTTGGAGCTGCTGAGGACGCTGTCACCCACCTCGGAGCTCCTGAGGGGCATGGGGACAGAGGAGGTGGCGGCCGTGGCTCGTAGGGCGGCACGGGAGTTCAGCGAGCGCTACGTGGGTACGAGTGGGGTGGAATCTCCAAATGGGGTTGACACCTCCCAGACAGGGGTTGTCATCCCTAAACAGGGATTGCCACCTCACAAATAGGCTTTGTGACCTCCCAAATAGAGATTGTCACTGCTCAAATGGGCATTGTCCCCCCCAAAAGGAGTTGTCACCCCCTAAACAGTAGTTGTTACCTCCCAGACAGGGATTGTTACCCCCAAACGGGGGTGTCACCCCTCAAACAGGGATTGTCACCCCCTAAATGGGCATTGTCACCTCCCAGACAAAGATTATCTCCACAGAGACTGCTGTGACCCCAAGTACTTATCAAGCACCTTGTCCCGACATGGCCTCTGCCATATCCCCAGTGGTTATACAGGGACATATCTAGCCCCTTGCCCCCACATGGATACCAAGGAGCCCCTTGTTCCCTAGTGGACTTTAGTGTGTCCCCTTCAAGCCTTATGTCCCCACATGGCCTCTGCCATGTTCCCAAGGACCTGTCAAGTCCCTTGTCCCCTGGTGGACTCTACTACGTCCCCAAGGAGTTCCTTGTCCCCATATAGCCTATGCCATGTCCCCAAGATCTCAGGGGACACCACCCCCGTGTTGTCCCCGCAGAGTGCCCAGCCATCGTGCCACGCTGCCTGTGGGGTGCCCGTCCCTACCGGGGCAGCCCAGCCCTGCTGCAGCCCCCACTGGGCTCAGTGTTCCTGCACCACACCCTGGAGCCATCGCAGCCCTGCCGGACCTTCAGTGCCTGTGCCCACGCCATGAGAAACATGCAGCGCTTCCACCAGGACACCCGCGGCTGGGATGACATCGGCTACAGGTCACTGTCACCTCCCTGGGGCAATGGCACCTGCCACGGGCCCCGGCACCCCCTGTGGGAGCAGTCATTGTACCTCTGTGGGGACTGTCACCTCCGTTGGTTCCCACCTTACATGGGCCGTGTCATCCTCTGCAGTCTCCATCATCTTCAGTCCTTGTCATCCACCACAGTCCCTGTCACCCCCCCAGTTCCTGTCATTGTACCCCTGTGGGCATTGTCACTCCCGTAGTCCTTGTCACCTCCCATGGGACTACCATTGTACCCCTGTGGGCACTGTCACACCCACAATCCCTATCACCCCCCCTGGATCCTGTCATTGCACCCCTCTGGGCACTGTCACCTCCACTGGTTCCTGTCACCCCCCATAGGGCTGGTCATTGTCTCCCCATGGTCCCTGTCAACCCCCATGGTCGCTGTCATCCCCTGTGGTCCCCATCACTGTCCCCTTGCAGTCTATGTCATTGTTCCCTCACAGACCCCACCACTGTCTTCTCACAGTCCCCAACACTGTCCCCCCATGCCCCCACCATTGTCCCCGCACAGTCTTTACCACTGCCCCTTCATGGTCCCCATAACTGCCCCTCCATGGTCCTCACCACTGTCCCCTTGCAGTCCCCACCATTGTCCCCCTGCAGTCCCCACCACTGTCCCTTCCCAGTCCCCATCCTTGTCCCCACACTGTCTTCATAACCCCCACAGTCCCCATCCCTGTCCCTTTCCAGTCCCCATCACTGGCCCCTCACAGTCCCCATCCCTGTTGACCCACAGTCCCCATTTCCATTTCCCCTTCTGTCCCCATAAGCTCCCATAGCCCCCACCATTGTCCCCGCATTGTCCCCATCCCTGTCCCTTTGCAGTCCCCACCACTGTCCCCCACTGTCCCCTCACTGCCATCGTGTCCTTGCAGCTTTGCGGTGGGCTCGGATGGGTACCTGTACGAGGGCCGGGGGTGGCACTGGGTGGGTGCCCACACCAAGGGCTACAACACCCAAGGCTTTGGCGTTGGCATCATTGGGAACTTCACGGGCACGCTGCCGGACCCCGACACGCTGGCCCTTGTGCGGGATGAGCTCCTGCCCTGCGCTGTCCGCTCTGGACACATCCGGCAGGACTTCACCCTCCGCGGCCACCGCCAGCTCGTCCACACCGACTGCCCTGGCAACGCCCTCTTCCAGGAGATCCAGAGCTGGCCCAGCTTCCAGGGGACACCGGTGGCACTGGGGCTTCGGGTGGGTGGCCTGGTGGGATTGGTGGGAAGGGGTTTAGGGTCATCTTGTGACTGACTGTGGGTCTTGTCCACTCTGCAGTGAGGAGCAGCTCCAGGCCGGGGAGCCTGGGCTGGATAGAGGCAGGAGAGGTTGGAAAGTGGTCCAGATGGACACCAGCCCAGTCTGGATGGACACTGGTCCAGCAGATGTTGGTGATGCATCAAGCTGGACACTGGTCCAGATGAACACCAGACCCATGGATCCCAGCTGGACTCTGGTCTGCAGCTCCTCAGCATGGACAGCCCCCAGCCCAGATGACCACCAGCCCAGCCACACCCTGGCCTACCAGCCCACAGTAGCCCCAACCCCAAAACCCCTCAAAATAAATCCAATTTCAGGACATCAGCTCTGGGTGGTCCGTGCAGAGCAAGGGGAAATCTGACTCAATGCGCTGGGGGTGACTTTGGGGTGATGGGAGTGGACTTTGGGAGCCACCCTGGAGACGCCAACCACCCCCCCACCCGCACCCCCCCCAAAACGAGCACCCAGCCCCCAAACTGGCACCTGCAGCATCCTAGGCCCCACAGCTGTCATTTCAGAGGGACTCTAGGAGCCACCATGACCCCGCAGTCTCTTTGAGAGGTGACCTGCAGTGTCCCACAGGTGTCACCGGCATGTCCCCAGCGGGAACAGTGGCATCACCTCCCAGGGCAGCGGCAGATGAGGAGGAGGAGGTGAAGGGGTGATTGAAACTCCTGCCTGGCGTCATGATCCACTCATGCAGGGTGTCGTGATGGTTCATTAATCCATCCCAAAAGTGCAAAAAGGCAAACAGCAGGGGACCATCAGTTTAATCGTAACAAATGCACCTTTATTGTGGTACCAACAGCAAATGCGATAGAGGGGACAGAAAAGGAAATAAATAGAGAGAAAAGAGGGGAAAGGGGAATAGCTACCATCATCTGAGACAAGACCCTCAATGGTCCAGCCACATGGATTTGCCGTCCTGCATGGGAGTTAACCAAAGTCATCCCAAAAAGTTACAGTTTATATAGTCTTTAGCCAAAGCCAGTGGCATCTGGCCAGAAGGTTGGGAAGACTGATGGGCCATTGTGAAGAGACCCCTTGGTCTGTGAAGCAGGTGCAGGCATGAGGGACAAGCCACCGCTTGTCACAACCTGCTCAAATGCAGTGTTCTGTAGAAATACAGCGAGTGCACCTGCAAACAGTCACTTGGCAAGTGTCCACATCCACCTCAGCCAAGCCAGAATTCCTGTCAGGGGTCTTCAGGGTCCTTGTGAAAATTGTGAGGCAAGTGAAGGAAACTTCGGATTGTCTCATGGGGAAGCCACAACAGGAATGGGGACCAAGCACATGTGCAGCAGTGGATGTACTTGGAGGACGGGAGACTGGGTGGGAGGGACATGGGGGCAGTCCCCAAGATCCTCTTGGGGGATGCTGTGTCCAGGACAGCGTGGGGGATATAGGGTCACACAGCATCATTGGGGGGATGCAGGGGGCTGGACGTGGCATGGGGGGGACTCCATAAAGGCTGTCACTCCCCTTGTAGGATGTGTTTATATACCCTTAAGTTCATATATATTTGTGAAGATTTCAACATCGCCTATACATATTCATAGCCTAACCTCACCTACCCCCTCTTTGTATGGTAATCAGTTTCTTATCGTTCTGTGCTTGCATACTATCTTCTGGTGGTCTTGGGTGGGGGTCGTCAGATGAAGTTGATTTACTAAAATATAAATATCGATCTAAGATCGATATCTAACTGAGATGGACAGAAACTCTCTAACAGTTTAAAGTTAGAAAGTGTATGTTTATTATAATGGCCGGGCAGTACATGGGATAATTCCCTAATGCGCACTGTAAAAATCACAGATATTGTTATGAACAGAACAGCCTTGCTGGTTCCCATGGCAATACTGGGACACTGCTGGTTTGAGCTAAGTACTGATATTGAAATGTTAATTTAGCTAATTGCTCCTGGGGATCACCTACACCCCCACCCACACTGCCATTCTAGGACTAGGATGCAAACTAGGGAAACCCATGGAATCATGGGAGGGGGTTTTAGGGATGAAAACACCCCTTAAAGGGAAGGCTGAGCACAGTGGAGGGGACTGGATGGGTGTGCTGGTTGGGGAAAAGGGAATCACATCCCTGGTCCATGTCTGACCTGTCACCATAGCCTGGACTGGACTGGGTTGTGGGAAGCAGGAACAAGGGAGCAACATTTTCTGGTGTTACTAGGAGGGAAGCAGAGGGGCCACCTGCTGCTGGCCTTCGGCAGCAGGATCTGCACATCCCCTCACCCTTCAGCTACCAGTGTGCCAGGAGGAAAGGATGAGGGGGGGTTGCTGATCAGGACTTGAGCTACAGACTGGGCACCTCTTCACCCTTCAGCTGACAGTGTGCCACAAAAGCTTCATGGACACACTCTGCACGCGTTCTCCCTTTGGCTACCTGGAAAAAGCTACAATAGCGGGGGTGAACTCTGTGTTGAGCCCCCTGCCCAGCTGATATTTTTTAATAAAGAGCTGAACATTAATAAAGGCATACACCCTGTTCATTTCAGGTATTACAAAGCCTTTTTATTTACAGAAGTCTTGAATACACAAAATATGAATGCATATTCATATCCCTGTCACTTCCTCTGATCCGCTTCATATGCTAATTGGCAAAAAGGCTATTAAGCATGTGTAGTTCTGTTCCCTGAAATGAGTCAGGGGTCCATTTTGGGAAGGGGTCTCCAACATGAAGAAGTAAAAGAAGTCTTCCTCGTTCTGACCTTTCTGCCTTTCCCATGCATATGTGACAAATGAATCCTTGCTGTTTTCCTGTGCTTAATGGGCTCCTAAAGTATGGGAAGTCTGCAACTGTTTTTGTGTCCCTGAAATCTGTTTATCACATTCTGCATTTCATTATAAGCACAGTTACCCAAACATAAAGTTGGCAAGCAATGAGTTAATAGATCCTGGATATCTTATCTAAGATCCAGCTACTGTTAACTATGAACAAAGCCTATTTATCTACTTCCACTAAGTTAGCAACATCCAATTTAACTATCATCTTAACTTTCCTAAAATTCTTAATTCTTCAAAATTAATGTCTCAAAGTAAATAGGGTAAAAACAGTCTTCCTCGGGGTGTGCTTTGGATGAACCTGGTCTTTGTGCATGCTCTCTGGGTAGCTGGCTGTTTTCCGAGGCTTCTGGCCATAGACCAAACTACGGATTCAGTTTTTTTCCTGCTTATCAGTTTTAAACAAATACACAAAGTCTTGTTTATGGTAGCAAAGAAGCAAAGTCCTCTTGTGGTGAAGCAAGAATTGTCTGTTTTTAACATACTTGACTGTACAGCAAATTATAAATTTAATTATAAGTTCCTTACATCGCTATGGTGCTAGGGTCTGTTCGAGTCTGGCAGCTTTTAGCTCTGGGGCTGTGATCTCCACCCTGAAGGTGTTAAGCTTGTGCTCTGTGAATGTCTCCAGCCCTGAGTTGTTACTTTATCTTATCTTCATGAGTGAACTGCCGCAGGACTTAAGTCAGGAGGCCTGTTCAGGGTGTGGTGGTTGTCACTGCAGCTTTTGCAATAGTTTTGCTACATTAGGCAAAAGTCCTTCATGAAAATGTTTTAGTCATAAAAGTAATTTAAGTCATATTTCAGTCTCTGACAGGCGTCTGTGGAAATGGGATGGGATCTGTTGGGCTGTGATGAGGATCCATGGGGCAGGGATGGGATCTGTGGGGCTGGGCTGGCAATTCGTGGGGCTTAAGGATAGAAAACCTGAAGTAAGAGCAGCACCTAAGGTGAGAGATCCTCTGAATGCTGCTGGTGCTGCCTTTCCAACACAACTCAGGGTGTTACCAGGACACCAAATCTGATTAGGACAATGATGCTGGCAGTGATGACGGACACAGTGACCCACCACCACCTTGAAATTCCAGCCAGATTCTGGCTCTGGGAAGCACGGGATGGTGAGGAGGGGAAGGAGAAACCCCATCCCGGTGCTCTGCAGTTCTGAATTCCTGTCCCAAATTCCCACATTCCACATTCCCAGCCTCACCCCAGGGAGGGCAGGGAGTGGGGAACTGGGGGAACACAGGGACTTAGGAGGTCTGGGGGTCCCAAACCAAGGAAAAGGGGGGCTGGGGCTGGGGAACTGAGGGAACACAGGGACATAGAAGGAATCAAGAAAAGCGGGGGCTGGGGGTGGAGAGAGTTTGGATGGTCGGAAAAGAGGGTGCCAAGGGCGATTGGTGCAGGATTAGGGGGTGCATGGTGTATGCGTTGCTGGGAAGATGGTTTCAAGGGTGTTATAGATGAGTAACACAATAGTTGGCTCTCGCAATTAAGATATGAATATTATGTATATGTTATCAATGTATAATTATGTTATTGTGATTTGTTGTCTAGGCATCCTCTGTTCCCCCCATAGTGAAATAAGAGATCTTCCAGAGATCACTTGAGCTAACAAAATGAATGTATCAAAAGTGAATGTATCATGTTTGTAGAATCATGTGTTGAATTTTAAGAAACCTCTGCCATGGCGCAAAAGACATAGGAAAAAATTCTTTAAAGCTTCTTGCAAAAAGACAAATACCAGAGAAGACCAAGAATGCAAAGAACTCAGATAAGGAGGCCCTCTGTCAAGGATGATGGACTTATCCAGATAAGATAGCAGAAGACCAAAAGCGCATGCGCAGAGGAGAAGAGTTCAAAGGTTCAATGCAGAAGAAGACTATGGTTTCAGCCTCAAAAGACCATCAGAGACCTCCGTAAAGACCACCACAAAAAACCACGCATGCCCAAAAGGGCGTAGACCTATTTAGCACGAGAGGTGAAGACAGGCGGGGCTAGGGGTTGAATATGCATAGAAAAGTTGTGTAATGTATTGCATATGGAACACCTTTGTGAATAAAATTGTGGGACAAACTCCAGCTCGGGGCACAAGATTTTGGAGAGCTATCTCACTTGTGCCGGGCGCTGTCATACATACCCACTTCATAACTACATTGAGTTGTGGAGTTGATTTATTTATTCCGCATATCGCTTCAATAGTCCCCTTTCCCCCTCGATATCTTCGCCACAGCCTGGGCTGTGAAAGGCTCGCGGAGGGAGGGCAGCGGGGAATAGGGAAGGGCGGTGCGGGGGGGGCGTGCCATGACGACACTGACCCGCCAATCAAGCTGCGAGAAAGCAGACTCCACCAATGGGCGGCAAAGAAGAGTTGATTGACAGACTTTGGGCGGGGCCAGGGTTGGCTGATGCACCTCCCCCCCCCCGCCAGGGCTATAAAACGGGGAGCAGCCACTTTGTACAGGAGCACATGGGAGATAATAGTATGTTCTTATTGATGTCCTTTTTCCTTACTCAGTCCTTTGT